GTAAAAATTTTGAACATCGTTTAATTCATTACGTTTCAACGAGACAACAGCGCCATCATCAGATTTAAAATTTACACAAACTACAAATACCAATTCACAATTAAAACATGTTGTATAAAAACTATAATTTATAGTGTTAAAACATTCATCAGTTTTTGAGGGAAAAAATCCTTTCTTTTGGGAGACAAAACATTTGAAAAACTTAAAACAGAAGAGAAACATTAGTTGTCTGAATTATTTTCTACATTTGCGAGAGTGGTATGTATGTATTGAGATAAGCAGAAATAATTTTTCACCAGTGTACTGGATGTTCCATACTTATGGCTTTATTAGGGTTTGGTCAATCTTGCTAAGGTCTGATCTGATCTGAAATTTACTGCTTTTGCATGTTTTTTATTTGTATCATTTCTTGGATTCTTCTTTTATGATAATTGTTTTCCCTAACTAATATATCTGCGTTGTTAAAATAAAAATTATGCAACATTTGGTGTGCATGTTGTGTTAATGCTGTCTTATTTCCACTAGTATGTCTCAGACTGTTTATGTTCGTACATTCTCTTTTTTAAATATTGTTTGTAATGTATATTGTACTGAAACTTTAGATTTTCTAAAAATGTATTTTTTTCAGTACGAACAATGATGATCCAATTCCGTGTGATGATTGAAAAATAAAGAGCTTCATCCTTTAACATACAGGGTGGTTTTTTTAGTGCGATAGAGTCCATTATTTCCGATGGTGTTGAACTTTCGACCGTAGTATCGAATTTTTAGATTGGAGTCCACATTGCTAACACCCTGTACAATGTATTGATATTTTGGTTCAATAGAATTCTCCAAACGACGCATTTTTTTGTATCTTTAACTGCTTTTTTGTGGTTCTACAATACATTTTTAGATACCATGTTTTTAAGCGAAATTCTACTAAAATGGCGATTATCAGCCAACGTCGCAAGTAAGAAAAAAACAATTTACGGTGCAAATGCAGCGTTTCAAGCAAATACATTTTCATCTTGCCTCGCTTTTCTGAGACACTGTATCATATAAGATAATTTTAAAATGGGCTCACTTTGTGCGTCAACAACTTTTATATGAAACTATTTTTCGAAAGTTCAACATCATCGGAAATAATGGACTCTATCGCACTAAACAACCACCCTGTATATGTACAAAAAAATATCTGGTTTCCCAAACTTTAACGATTTTTTTTACTCACGTAGGGGCATTTTTTGCAAGCTTTGAA